GTTTACTTTCCACCAGGCTGTCAGAGTTGAGAGGAGTGTGATGTTCTTACAGTGATTCATTTTCTTAGTAGAGTTTGGTAGAAAAGGGAGGTCTGCAACCAAGTTATTAAAATTTTTTTTACAGTAATTTTGCTCTAATTCTATCCATGCGCTGTTGTAACTATCCTTCTGAATCCATTTGACTAAATACTGTAGCTGATTTGCCAAGTAGTAATATTGGACATTTGGTCCTTCTAGACCACCTAATGATTTCTTCTTTTGGAGTGTTGATAGGAAAATTTTGGGTTTCTTTTTTTTCCAATAAAATTGTGAAGTTAAAGAATCAAGTGATTTAAACCATTTATCTGTGGGTGTTGTGGGAAGCATTGTAACAGATAGTACAAACGGGATCAGTTCACAAAGTTTCATTTTACAGCAGGGTATCAGACAAGGAAGCCCACTCTCACCATCTCTATTCGCCATTTTCATCGAACCTCTCGCAGCAGCTATACGACAGAACAATATAATTAAAGGAATACAAGATACTTATTCAAAACACAAAATTAGTCTTTACGCAGATGATTTATTATTATATTTACAGATCCCTATAATTCTCTACAGGAAACTTTACATATTATTAACACATTTTCTAAGATCTCAAACTACACAATAAACTGGAATAAATCCACCATACTGCCACTCTCTGAGGATGCCTGGGATTCTGCAGCTCAAGACTCCTCCCCCCAATTCTGCACAGGCAACATTAAATATCTTAGTATAAGGCTGTCAGAACTTTTTAATCTCAACTACACCCCCCTGCTAAAAAAGATAGAAGATGATTTTAAACATTGGTCCAATCTTCTTCTCTCACTCATTGGACGAATAGCTACTGTCAAAATGAAAACTCTACCTCATATCCCATCTCTATCTCTCTGTCGCGCTAATCTGTACAAGTCCTTCTCACCTTCCCTCATGTCTAACCTGGCATACAACTCATCATAAGTTTTCTGTTTGGCCATTGCCACCTCCCTCTTCACTCTACGCTGCAATTTCTTCTAATCCTGTCTACTGTCTTCAGTCCTTTCTATGTCCCACTTCTTTTTAGCTAGCCTCTTCCTCTGAATGCTGCCCTGTACTTCCTCGTTCCACCACCATGTTTCCTTATCTTCTTTCCTCCTTCCACAATACATAGTTTATCTATCTATCTATCTATCTATAACCTGACTGACCATCGTAGCCCAATTTCTAAACTATTTATTTGACACCTCTGATTTGCATGTTTTTCTTCACAGGTGGGCAGTAAAGGAGTTGGAATATTATCACGATCAAAAGCAAGTGATATTGCACTTTCAATTGCTGCTTTTGTACCAGGTGTTGAGGCCACAATGTGGATCAATGGCTGCTCTGCTAATATGGTTACACCTCTCTACTATAAGAATAAACAACTACTCCCTGTGTTATTGTATGACAAGAAAAAGGTGGTTCACACTTCGTCAGGGGCTGGCATAATCAAATATGTTTTGAACAGTACCCTGACAGAGGAGAACAAGGCCACCCTGATCCCCATTGAACAAGCCAAGGGACACTTCCTCTTTGTGGCTGCAGAGAATGACCTGAACCTGGACGCCAAGGCCTACATGGAGCAGCTGGTAGAAAGACTGAAGCGCCATGGGAAGGAGAACTTTGAGTGTGTGTCTTACCCTGGAGCTGGACATTATTTAGAGCCGCCTTACATACCATTCTGCCCATCCAGCTTTCACGGTGTTGTGTGCATGCCGGTCCTGTGGGGTGGTGATCCCAGGGGCCACCCAGCAGCTGAAGTCCTCGTGTGGAAGAAGATCCAAGACTACTTCAGAACTCGGCTGAGCTGTGATGCTGCACAATAAAATCCTAAGCTGCAACATAACAGTTAAACATTGTTTGTCACGAACAAGGCACAGAATCATTTGTTCCACTACTGTACCTGTGCTAAGGGATGGACAAACATCAGAATCTTAAGATTGTAACTGATCCACCGTGTTCCTCAGTAAAGGATGTTATACTTGTGTGTTAGGCAGCAGCAGAGCATGTTTGAGACAACTTGCAAAGCTTTTGTTTTCTCCAACAAGTTCTCAGTGTCGGGGCATTGAAAACATTTATATGTATTTTCCCCAATGCAAACCTGTGTGTGCCATCCATGTAATGTTGTGGTGGGTCTGTGAGGATCGGTGAGTGAAATCTGATGCTGATCCCTTCAAACTGTTTCCTGCTTTGGAGCACCCTTATACTGATTTGTAAATCCACTCTCAGAGATGCACAAAGGGCTTACTGCAGTTTAGAGCTATGTGGAATATAAAGTACATTTCTACAGTTGAGTGCTCTGTTGCGAAACATAAGATCCTTTCACTGAAGGTACACTGATACACAGCTTGATCCCATGCCAGTTATTGTGCTGTACATTACCAAAAAGCTGATCAGCTACAAATGGATCTGAAATTATATTAAGAGTTCAAAGATTAGACTTATGGGCCTCAAAGCTACTTGCTACTATCTGTCGCACTACAGCAGCTTTGGAGTTTCAAAAAGACGCCTTATTCCCATGTCAGGGATTTTTTAAATTTATCATACTGCTGTTGATCTGCTTGCTGCATTTTATGCTTTATCTGTATGTTTATTTACTGATATTTGTTGTCTCTTATTTAGTGGTATGTCTGGTTCTAGTTGCACAGGTTGGTACAAAACCATAACAACCAACAATAATAAAGATTGATTAAAATAATTGGAAGGCAATAAGATTTTGATGCAACAAAGACATGAAACAAAAGACTAAAAACACATTTAAATCCCTGCTGACCTGATCACGTCTGAGTTGTTCGTTGCCCTTTAGATTTATTTTTGCATTCTGTGTAAACAGACAGAGAAATTTGAACTTTAAACATATTTGTGCAATAAATAATTGATTTCAAATTCTATGTGCTGGATCATAAACTGAGCACTTTTAACAGCAATACAACAGCATTTGGTAACAGGAGGCTCTATATGAATACGCCTGCTCGTTTCTCTTTTTACACCATTATTTGAACTTTTGAACTTCTGTTCATGAGTTAACTCACTTCCTTCATCGCCTCGCTCTGTTTAACTGGGTTCTGCCCAAGAGGGAAGAGTAAAGCAGGTTTGGGAACAGTGGTGGACCTGTGCCTAAAATGATGCACATGCATCATAAATCAAAACAGTCACAGCAGCAGTGTTATCAGAAACAAAGAAACCATAACCTTCATACTATTACCACACAGCTTCCATCACTTTAAGCTTACAGGAGTCTGCTGTTACGTTTCTGATTGAAAACAAATGCCAGTCTGCCTCTGACTAGGCATCCATCATGACACTGTTTGGTGAATGTGGCTGCAGGCACCTTGTATACCCTGGCTACAACAGCTGTTTTTTAACAAATAATGTCACAGAAACAGCCTTATCCTGCAACACCACGTGGTAAGAGTACAAATACAGGCCCAGGTTTAATTACTTAGTATTCTTTATATTAGATCAGTTGTTCTATATGTCACTGCTTAAACCAGGACATCACCTCTTCAAATGTTTTATTACACACAGGGACTGAGAGTGTGTATTCTTTTAATTCAAATGCAATTTTGCACCAGATTTTTGCTAGTATTTTAAATTTAAATTTTGCTAAGCACAGCCTTTTTTACTGTGTGATATATTTCTTGGGTTGATGTTGTCTTGATTAAAAATTTGCTGTGTTAGTTTATCAGTATGATAAGGACGACCACATTGTTTCCTGGAATGGAAAAGATGTCACCAGCAAAGATAATTTAGTCAGCAGTTATGTTCCTCAAAAAAGGTATTGTATGAAAAGTATTTACTGGGAGACAGGGTTGGTCTGGCTCAAACTACAATGAACAGTGGGACAAAAAACTAAATCTTCCTGACATCTATCTGTCTGACCAGGACTTTGAGGTCAGTACAGTAGCAACCAGCTGAATCTACAGTATGTACCCTCGCTGCTAAACCTGTTGTGAACAGCAGAAACCAGTGAGCAGCAGAGCCATGTTGGTTTGAAGTGTGTGTTTAAACTGGTGAAAATTACCAGGCTATCATGTCACCTCTCTGTGTCATTAGGCTGTATATAGATGTGGTCTACACTGTGTAATTAGCTTAGCTAATGACGAGGGCGGATGAATGCCAGGATTTCTGTTCCCATCTGGTGCAAATGTATTAATTTTTTTCAGTGAGTGTATACAGTGAATACCTGAGGAAAATTTAATGTTGAATCACTATTGACTGGTTTGGCAGATTGGCCTGAATAAAAACAATACGGTGGAGCATCAGTCAGTGTGCAGGCTATAGCTAATCTTTTTACTCTTCTAGTAGGATTACTCTTTGGCTTGTGCACCTGATGCAAAGAAGTTTTTTGGGAAGGTGGATGTGCTTTTCTTAGCATTTGTAATAACCTGAAAAAAGTCTTGTCTTGTAGCCTTTGATTTCCTCTGTAGATGGTCATGAGGACATTCAATTCAGATCCACTGTTTTCATCCAGTAGTTGCCTTTTCAGCTACATACTGTTTCTATACCTTTTTTCCTTAGTCTTTCTTTCTTTCACTGCATCCAAAAACAAGCAGAGCTATCGTATCTTCTCCTTTCAGTGCATTGAACAAGGACACAGGGAGCGATTTCAGAAACATTTATTCAAATCCCTGGGCAGTTCAGCAGCCCTTGTGTTTGGCAGCTCTCCTCAGGCCTTGGCCAAGCTGCACACTACCAACCATGTGAGCCAGGCTTTGAAAACAGACAATCAAAGACTTCTGTGTTTCTGGTAAATGCATAAAAATGAGCTTGTTCGTCAGGTTCGGTCATTTGAACTGATCCCAGTGAGACCTGCAAAGGTTCACTGAGGCTCTGCAACATGTAAAAATGTCCATGTGTGTAGTTATGGTTTCATGAGTCATGTCTGCCAATGCTGTGTAGATTTATCTGTGCAGAAGCATGACAATGAGAAAACGCAGGCAGTTTCATACACTTGAGTTGTTTCTGTCTCTGATAGATTGTACAGCTGTGATCTCATCCATAAAAGCAGGGGAAATATTTTGATGTTTGTCAAGTGTAGAGATACTTATTTTATACTTGTTGTTCCTCTATTATATTAATAGTAAGGTCTAGGCCTTACTTTGTAAAATGTCCTGAGATGACTTAGTTGCGATTTGGCGCTATACAAATAAAAACTGAGTTGCTTTAAAGTCATGACTATACTGTATTTTACTAAGATCTGTATTTGGCTTATTGAGTGTCATGCAATAAAATCCCCAAGCTGCACTACCCTGCATGACCACATGAGGGTGTTTTAGCTGAACATTTTGGGCTTAAACAATTGTTCAGATTTGGGGGCTGATACTGTCAAGAGTCATGTGTGACTTAAGTCAGATTTCTTCAATTCAAACTGCTCATTTTAAATTTAAAGATAAACCTGGCACAGCAAAACGTCTCAACCCCCCCCAAAATAAGGATTATAAAATAAAGAATTCAACTTTTAATGTGTTTTCCAATTAAATGAGTATCAAATTCACACTGGGGACATTCAGCAAACAATTACAACAAAAGTGGATTTAAAGAAAACCTTGTATTTGAAAAATACTATATGAACCAGTTTCTATCGAAAGACAACTGAATAAACAAAAGGGCATATCACACACAACACACTGGCTCATTGGAAGCAGAAAGAAACCCATCTGCAAAAGTTGCGGCTGAAGTTGTACGCTCAGAGGCAACCAATCATTGACCAGGAAGCACTGAGACAATCACTTGTATCAGCCAATCATAGCTGCCCACCTGCAGTCCTTATTAGGCACACACCCACACAGCAACAGGTCAATAAGAGTGTCACAGGTTAGAGCACTTTGTTAGGTACACCTGCAATCCAGTACAACAGCGCTGCCATAACACCTCAAAATTCAGAATATTAGGAACACCCCTACATATAATGCAGTCAGTACAATAACACTTTTAACTGTGAGCTCAGTAATCGGTTATGCATGTTATCCTCCTTTGTTTCTTGTCATATCACCACAAATAATGACTGTGCATGGAGTAAAGTGAGGCAAAGTGTCAGTCTGCCTGCACAGCAGTGTGCGTTTTGTGTGAGAAACAAAACAGCACTGAAGTAGGCACGTTTATGTGTGTTTGTATAAAAAGGTAGAAATAGCTCAAATGAACCTCTGGCCTCATTTTAAGACTTGTGACTGCTAAGAGACCGGAGGGAGTACAGCAGTTATATAATGAAGCCTATAGGAAGAAGAAGAGGATTT